ACTGTGATGGAAACGGTGGTTCGGGCTGCAGGTGGCCATCCAGGGATGCAGCCACAGTGGAAACCAGCTCCTGCCAAAGCCCAACACACCTGCAAGGTGTGCCCCACACAACATTGGTGACCGAAACCTCAGAAAGCGAAACTACAGATCAGAGAGACACTACCTTAGATGACACTCTATAGTATACCAACTTTGTAAAAGGCAAAAGTACAGACATGGGGGCTGCTAATGGCTGCCAACAGAAAGCAGGCCTGTGAGCTGCCTGGGCTTTGAGCCTTCTCTGCTCTCACGAGCAAATCTGTGCAAGAAACCGCGCAGCAAACTCACCATGTGTGATTCACATCTCACAGCTTCTCGGAGGGCAGCACAATCCCGCACATCTCTCCCCAGACTACGGTTCCCTCAGGGCTTCCCTCTGGCGGGACACACTTGATTTGAACATCATAAATCAAGAGAAAGAGAGGAATCAGTGGAAACTGAGGCTCGCAGAGAAGGGCTCACCTGTCACATAAGCCAGGATACAATGTCCGTGCTTCCTTTGCATGGGAAAGCCCTGCTCACCTCCAGGCTGGCCCGCCCCTGACTCAAGCTCGGCTCTGGCCTCACTCAGAGAAGTTGGGTTGGGAAGCTGGTGGACTTGGGTCCAGCAGGGGAGTGCCAGGGCTGGCTCCCAGCAGCAGGGTAGTGCCCGGGCTGGCTCACAGCATTGATTAATAAAGCTTCCCAAATCACACAAGGCGGTGCAGACCCCGCTGTTGGTCTGATGCCAGCCCTGTGGGGAGTGGGGGCAGTCCACAAGTGCTACGTGCCAAGGCTGGGCCCCAGTCCCCACACCCAACAGGCTGCTGCTATGTGTTCTCCAGCCCTCGACACTGCCTCCCACGAGCTCTGTCATCTTGCATGAATACTTTAACGCCTGCTCCTCAGCCTCTCCACTGTGAACTGGGGACAAGAGCATCCACCTGGAAAGACACTGCTGACACCTGCTGAGATAAAATCAGACATGAGTGGTATGCGACAGGCGATCGGCAAGCAGGAGTGCTGTTGCTGCTGGTTTTCAACAAGCATGGGGTGCATGTAACAATCTCCTATGGAACAAGCAAGGTGCCAGCCATGGATTATCACCAGAGAAATGGGCACAAGAAGATCTTGTGCTTTTGGTAAAAAGGTGGAGGGAAGCAGAGCATTCCAACATGGGGATTCGTGTGGACACTCCCCAGTGCCTCCCCAACAGATTGCTGGCGTTCCCTGGCTGGTCCAGGAGCTGTCCAGCACCCCAGGATCAGGCACCACGTGCCCTCCTGAGCCCTGCTTTCATACAGTTGGCCTCTGCTACTCAGACAGCTCGTTCTGCAAAACAGTGCTGGCTCAGTGGTGGGTGCCACCGGGCACTTCTGGAGCCCACACTCCCTGCTCCCTTCTCAGTATCAAACTCTCTGGGGGCCGCTCTGGGCATCTCTTCAAACCACCAGATGAAGTCTTGCTAGTTAGTGGCTAACACTCAAAGAAACTTGTCCCCTCTTGTGCTTGTCCTGCCAACGATGTTCGCGCAGGTCAAGAGTGTCCCAGGAGGCAGTGGACACTGCAGATTTTGCTAATTGGAGCAGCTGCTGAGGCTCACGAGAGGAGGAAGACTCATGCCTGTAGCCCCGGACATGCAAGGCCATGGCCTGACCGTGGACATGTGTGGTGTTTGAGGCCTGTACTTCTCTGTGTTCTATCCCAGGATACCACAGGAGGAAGGAAGGGAAGAGAGCAGGAGAACACGCATGGCTGTCTGCATGGGGAACATCTCCCCCGGGAGGCTCTGCAAAGCCGAGAGCAACTGTCTTGCTTGTTGCTTTCTGGCCACCACCAAGCTCCAGCCCTGGCAGGTGGATCACAGGCCTCTCAACAACGTGGTATGAGTTCACTGATGGACCCCAAGATCCTTGCATGCATCTGGGGTTTCTTCCCATAGAGGAATGAGAAAGGCAAGCAGATGTGTGGACCCTAGCTGGGCTGTGCCGTCTTGACGCTCAGAGAAGAGCATCCCTGATTATGGGGCACCTGGAAGTCCTGAAGACTCGAGAGAGGAGAGAAGTCCCAGGCTGTGAGCTCCAAGGGGACGGAGCCAGGCCCACTCCTCATCCTAGCAGCCCTGGAATAGAGGACAGAGCCTGGCTCCCAGGAAGAGCCGATGAGTGTTTGCATAAGAAAGGGGTATTGGTGAGGAGGTGAACCTTAGTTCTCATGGAGAACAAATTGGTGATGTGACCAGGGCAAAAGCAACTGGTGCAGAGGCCTGGAGAGCTGCCAACAGCAAGATGCAGCACAGACACAACATCCCAAGCTGGTGGTCAAGACAGGGGTCAGGAGCCAAGGCTGGATGGAATGCCAGAGGCCGCGTAGGCTGAAGTGGGTTTTGAACACATGCTCTGAAACCATGCAGGAGCTACCTCCACTCATGCTTAACCAGAGGTGCAGCACGCCAAACTCAAGATCGCAACGGTCCCTACAGCCTCGCCCCTGACACTACAGGAGAAGACAGCTTGTCCACAGACAGACAGGAAGTGACTTGACTTCAACACATTCGACCAGCCAGGGGCCAACACTGCAGGACGGGGACTGGCCACACCACAGCAGTGGGAACCTCGCTCTGAGACTATGCGGGTGTGTTATGAACTACTCAGGACAGTAAAGGTGTGTTATATGTCACCCAAGACAGTGTAGATGTGTTTTACATGTCACCCAAGACTGAGTGGGGTGTGTCCTGTGTCACCATTGGTCCTTGGGGTAGTGCTATAAAGTCATTATCCTTGTATTTCAGAAGAAAGAGGACACACGGAGAGGCCCACCCACTCTCTCCCTTGGCTGAGGCTGCCCAGCGAGAACACACGGACTGTGCCATAAACCACACACGTGTTTCTTCTGGTCCTAAAAGCTGCACGTCCATGTCAGGGCACCAGCCCCACCAGGTTCTGCGGAGGGCGTTCCTCCTGACACCCTTCCTGCTTTGTCCTCAATGAGCTGTTTGCTCTGTCTCTCCCACTCCCCTTTTCACCTTTCTCTCTTCCTCTTCCTGTCTCCATCCCCTTCTCCCTCTGCCTATAAGGCCACAATCCTGCCCAATTAGCCCCATCATTTCATTTAGCCAGCACGTGTCCTAAAGGCTCTCTCCAGACACAGTCGCCCCGCAGGTTAGGGTTTCAACATCTGAACTTGGTCTATAGGAGCCGCTGGAAAGGCAGAGCCAGGGTGAGAACCCAGGAAAGCAGCTCTTGAGGCTGAACCCCCTGTCCAACCCTGCTTCCACCTCCCTTCCCTACTCTGGCCCTCCCTACCCCAGGCCTCCAAACACACTGCACCCTTTCTGTCTGGGTGGGATTTTTTGTCTTTCCCTTTCTCCTCAGCCTTGGGTTGTTTCCAGCCCAAGACAATAAACCAGCCTCATTTTAGAAGAGGTGAAAATACCCACACCTGACAAGTCAACCTGGGCTGCCAGCAGCTTGGGAACGGAAACCACTCATCACTGAGCAGCAAAAATCGCCATGAAACCCCTCCGTGCTGGGCTTTGGCCTGGGCTGCTCTACGGCCTGGCACGTTGGCAAGGCAGGATGAGACGGTGCCCAGTCAGGACTTCCCAGGGCAGCAGAGCCAACCTCCGTGTGATGAGATGAATAGCTGATGCGCAATTTGTACACAGCAGTTAGTGCTGCCCCAACAAGCAAGGCAGCAACACCCAGTGAGCCAGCCAACAGCGAGCCCAGCAAGGTCGGCCAGAGACAGGAGCCCACAGCAGCCAAGCAGCAAGGCTCAACGCCCTGTCACGGGCTGGGACCCCTTCCAGCAGCTGTGGCATGGGGCTTAGAAGTGTGGGCCACGAGGCTGGGACAGTTCAGGTTCAAGTCCTGCCTCTCCCACTTTCCAGCTATGTAATTCAGTTGTCCTGAGGGTAAAATGGGTCTAATGCTACGAGGAGAGTGCTGTACCACTAGCTACACAGGACGCATGTGAAGGGCCCGTTAAAGGTTGAGTCATTCCCCTTCAGAAGTGAAAACATTCAGTGCCAGCAGACAGGGCCTCAGGTGGAGCCACATTTTAGTCACAGCCAAGAGCCGTGCTGGTGGCTGGGAGATGAGTGCCGGGGGAGCCAGCCCCGGCTGCTCCCTCCTGTTCCATGTTTCCAGCTGCAGTTGCCCTTGCCTCATGTCTGCTCCTGAGCCCCAGGTGGGACCTCCTTCCTGCCCCTCCTCCACCCTGGCAGGAAGAGGCCTGATCCAGCTCGCAGCCCATGACCCTCAGCCTCTGCGGAAGCTGTCGTGCTGGCTGGAGTGGACCTACCCAGGGTCACCATGAGCCAGGGAGCCAAGTCGCTGCGATTCTCAACTTGGTAGAAAGGTCAAGAACTGCCCAGTCATGCTTCGGCCAACTCAGGTGGCTCTCCCTCTAGTAAGGTTAACCCTGACCCACACAGCAGCTATCCCACTCAGCACTGGCCCTTTAACCAACAGCACAAAGGGTACAATCCACCACCCACCCACGTATCATCTCCTTTTTTACCCATCACCATCATCCACCTGTCTTCCGCTTCCACCCTCACTTTACCATTCATCTATTGTACACTCACACACAATGACACTTCCCAAATGTCATGGAAAATGGAGTTAAGAGGCAAGCTTATTTGGATACACAGAAATGTGAACTCCTCAGTTCGACCTCTCAGTACATTAGGGTTACCAAGCGTATCTGTCACTCCTCTGTTGTGTCTCAAAGACCATGAGCAGAACATTAGAGAGCAGAGCCTAAGGGGGGCACCCTGAGGTGACTCCCCTCACACAGAACGCACACACACCACACACCATTAACACACGCCACATACCACAAGCACATGTCACACTGCATGCACACATCATACACCATGAATACAGCACGCAGAACTACCAGGCAGCAGAGCCATGAACACACCACGCACTGACCAGTGCTGGGGCAAGCCTCGGAGCCCCCAGGGCGCCACTCACCACAGGTTGACCAGGAAGGGGTGCTCCAGCCCCTGCATGATCTGCAGCTCCCGGAAGACATTGTGCACCTCTCCCCGCTCGATGCACTGCTGCTTGTTCATGTACTTCATGGCGTACATCTTCTTGGTGTCCCGCTTCTGCACGATGCACACCTGCCAGCAGTCACAGGGGACAGCCATCAGGCCAGGGAAGGAGAGGCGGGGCAAGGAGGGGCGAGCCGGCTCCCCTCGCACTTTCATTCCAAGCTCTGAAAACATGCCAACCCTGCTAAACCTTGAGATACGCCCCCCACCCCATGAATTCACAAAGGGAGGAGCTAGACGAGTGTCTCATGTCTCCACCAAGCTCATGTGCCAAGTGCTGGAGAGGGGAGCTGCAGATGTGGGAGATGCAACAGGCAGGCTTGCCCTCAGGGGTCTCACTGCATGCATGCACACAGCTGGTCAGTTCTCAGGGACCCTGGTCAGTACATGGGACCCTGATCAGTTCTCAGGGGGCCTGGTCAGCACATGGGAATCTGGTCAGTTCTCAGGGGGCCTGGTAAGTTCTCAGGGGCCCTAGTCGGTTCTCGGGGGGCTCTGGTCAGTTCTCAGGGGACCCTGGTCATTTCTCAGAGGACCCTGATCAGTTCTTGGGGACCCTGGTCAGTTCTCAGGGACCCTGGTCAGTTCTCGGGGGCCCTGGTCAGTTCTTGGGGGCCCTGGTTGGTTCTCAGGGGCCCTGGTCAGTTCTCAGGGGACCCTGGTTAGTTCTCAGGGGGCCTGGTCAGTACATGGGACCCTGATCAGTTCTCAGGGGACCTGGTCAGTACATGGGACCCTGATCAGTTCTCAGGGGACCTGGTCAGTACATGGGACCCTGATCAGTTCTCAGGGGGCCTGGTCAGCACATGGGAATCTGGTCAGTTCTCAGGGGGCCTGGTAAGTTCTCAGGGGCCCTAGTCGGTTCTCAGGGGGGCTCTGGTCAGTTCTCAGGGGACCCTGGCCATTTCTCAGAGGACCCTGATCAGTTCTTGGGGACCCTGGTCAGTTCTCAGGGACCCTGGTCAGTTCTTGGGGGCCCTGGTCAGTTCTTGGGGGCCCTGGTTGGTTCTCAGGGGCCCTGGTCAGTTATCAGGGGACCCTGGTCAGTTCTCAGGGGGCCTGGTCAGTACATGGGACCCTGATCAGTTCTCAGGGGACCTGGTCAGTACATGGGACCCTGATCAGTTCTCAGGGGGCCTGGTAAGTTCTCAGGGGCCCTAGTCGGTTCTCAGGGGGGCTCTGGTCAGTTCTCAGGGGACCCTGGCCATTTCTCAGAGGACCCTGATCAGTTCTTGGGGACCCTGGTCAGTTCTCAGGGACCCTGGTCAGTTCTTGGGGGCCCTGGTCAGTTCTTGGGGGCCCTGGTTGGTTCTCAGGGACCCTGGTTGGTTTTCAGAGGCCCTGGTTGGTTCTCAGGCACCCTGGTCGGTTCTCAGGGGACCCTGGTCAGTTCTTGGGGGTCCTGGTCGGTTCTCAGGCACCCTGGTCGGTTCTCAGGGGACCCTGGTCAGTTCTCAGGGACCCTGGTCGGTTCTCAGTGGACCCTGGCCGTTTCTCAGAGGACCCTGATCAGTTCTCGGGGACCCTGGTCAGTTCCATCAAGGTCATTATCAGACAGTGAGTCCAGGCTCCATCTTTTGGGCCAGCCAGCTCTGGTGTGCCAATGCACAGGCATTGCAGGCTGCCTGTTGCTACCTGCCACTGAGTCCTCTGGAGTCAACAAGGCACCCGATGTGCATGTTCTGCACAGAATCGTGAGCCAAACACAACTGCTTCCCTCATCTAGTGCCCCAGCTCCAGCCTCGTGTTACAATAAGGAGACAGCTCGCACATCCCTTGGCACCGCTGGGAGCTGCATCCAGTGTCTCCGAGGCTGGGCTGTTATGGTTCCCATCCCCACAGGTGGTGGCACACCCTGAGTTAGGAAATCCTGCCCCTGCCGCCAGCAGGGGCCCCACCTGTCCTGTGTGGGGTGTCCAGCTCACACAGTGGAACCTGCTGCCTTCATTCTTGGCCCCATGACCTCCTGGCCCTGAGCCCCAAGGTTGAGTCCATCCAGAGCTAGATCCCACCCTTAGCAGGGCCTGCCACATGCCACCAGCCAGGTGCCAGGAACAGCCCCAGGCACCTCCATGTTTATCACGCAGCGGGGGAAGCTATGCTCCAAGTCCCGTGACAACCTCGTGCCTGAGGAACCTGCTGCCGTCACAGGTGCCCTCTGGCCCTGGCGCCCTTGCACAGGACTTCCGGTCACCTGAGTCCGCCAGCCCATGCTCCCAGGCCAGGGAACATTCAGGGACAAATTAGGAGAAGGCATCTAGGATGCTCCAGTGCCCTGTGCCCTTGCCTCTGGGGAAATCAGAGTTAATGAGGTGAGCAGGAGCAATTGGCCAAGGCCAGCAAGGGGCTGAAAGGCGGCCCCTACCAAGCACCACTCCTCTTAGCCTCACTCAATTAGGACGAATGCAACCCAGTCATTACAAGGCCCGGAGACCTAGCAATCAGTGCCAGGCAGCATGCAGCTCTGCTTGCTCAGCACAGAGTGGGCACAGACCTTTGAGAATGGGTCCTGGCTGCACAGAAGGCCCTTGGACTCAGGCTGGACACGGGCCTGACTGTACTGTGACTGAGAACTCCACAGCATGCCCAGAGGTCCAGGGGAGCCCCAGACATTTGATTTCCTAAGCACTCTCCAGGGAAGGGTCCTGTGCAGTCCCAGCTGAGCACTCCTTGATTGGAATTTTCCAGAAAGCCTGCCTGCTTCTTCCATGGTGACCACCATTGTCAGGGCTGTACTCCTTGCAGGTGGCCCAGGCATCCCTGGCTCCCGGAGGGTGGAAGGTCACAGCCAGGGAAGCCAGCCCTGGGCTGAGGACCACAAGGGTGAGAAGGAGCCAGCAGCCCTCTGGAGCCAGCCTCACTGACTCTGCCTCCCCCAGCATCAGGGTGGGGCTGGCTGCCCTGGCCTCCCATCCCTGTGTCTCACAGGGGAGGGGCAGGTTCAGCAAGTGAATTGTCAGCTGTCACATGACATTAAAAAGCAGGATATGAGAAGTGACCAACTGGAGAATGAGCAGAAGATAAATCAGGGTGAGCCATGGTTGGTTACTCAAGTGAGTGATGGTACTAGCTGCCACTGCTCAGATCATTAGGAAAATATAAAGCTCTGAGCTACCTCCCACACTTCCTCCTACTCTCCAAGAAGGCCTCGGGGGGTCCATGGAGATGGGCACTTGCAGCCAAGGTGTGTGTTAGCTGGAGCTTTCCAGGGAGAGCCTAAAACACAATGCCAGGAGCTACAGCAGCCCCCTACAACCATGAGGCCAAGAGGATCTTGAAGATGCTGAACCTGCTATCATGGGGACTTCTACTTGGAGATTTCTTACCATACAAGGAAAGTAAACCCTGCTTTGGTTAAGCCCCCTTAAGGGAGATTTTCTGTTCTCTGCCACTGAACTCATCCCAACTAATGAATAAACCATGACATGATTTCCCAGCACAACAATCCCATGGACCCTCTGACAGATGGTGGAGGGATCAAAGTTGACTTGGGAATGGGCATGGGCCTAACAGTTAAGACACCAGCGGTGGCGCCCATTTCCCATGGAGGCTTGGCTTTATGTCCCAGCTCGGGCCCCAACTCCAGCTTCCCCTGGCATGCGCCTCCCACTAACCTCCCAGAAGGCAGTTATGGTTGAGTTCTCGCCATGCACATGGGGCATCTGGGCTAGGCTCCTGGCTTCCAGCTTGGGCCTGGTCTAGCCCCAGCCCTTGAGGGTCCTTGTTCGTCCTGTCTCTAGTTCCTTCCCTCCCTGTCTCCCTCTCCTTGTAGAGACTTGAAAAACAGCAGGCTCCTGATGCATATTGTCGCTGAATGAGTGAGTGAATGGGTCAGTGTTACTACTTAGGAGGGCAGTGCTATGGAACAGGTGAGTGCATGCGACCAAGGACCCCAGGAGAGAGATCTGAGTCCCACACATGGGTGCAGGGACCCAAGGATTTGCGCCATCTTCCACTGCTTTCCCAGTGCAGGAGCAGGGAGCTGTACTGGAAGTGGAGCAGCCCATTAGCACTCAGGGGCAGCTTAACCTGCTGTCCATAGAGCTGGCCTCGTCCCATGGGCCCCAGCTCTCAATATAACCATCCCCAGGAGCCCGTCAATTCCTCCCAAGGGTGCCACAAACCAACACGACCTAATTACCAGGAAATTAATAAATAGTTCATTAAAGAGAAACAGAATCCATCTTTCCTGAGCCAGAGGCTCCTGGTGAAAGGATCATCTTGGAGAATTTGAGAAATAAGGAAGAAGAGTGAGCGCGAGGCTCCAGGAAGTCAGGGTCACGTGCATGGCAGGGCCAGAGCCGGAGCTGGCCGGCAGGGTCACGTGCATGGCAGGGCCAGAGCCAAAGCTGGCCGGCTGGCAGCGGACACGCAGGCATTAGAGCTGCTCCCTCCAAGGAGCCACCTGCACTCCAGGTCCTGCTCACAGCAGAGTGCATCAGTCGCCACGGGCCCTGCTGCTCATGTGGCTGCCGACTCAGCACCCAGCACCTGCTGCTGCCTTTCTCTATGTGGTTCTAACCCACATCTTCACACGACTTGCTTCCCTCTTGGCTATGTCAGCCTCAGCTCCAACAAGGAGACCCCTCTGAGCTTCCGCAGAGTCCTGGAGAGCTCCTGCTTACATCTGTCTCCTTGTCTCTCCCTACCCCCTGTCCAGCCCCCTCCCCATCCCACCCTACCACCAGCTCTGTGGTATGCAGCACTTGGTGCAGCCAGCTGGTCCAGGGACCTGATGACCTGATGCCAGGACAGGACAGCTGACCACAGCACTGACCACCTGGTCCAAGCTCCTGCTGGACATCCCGCCATCCCGCAGCAACTTCCAGCATCCCTGCTGCTCGGAAATGCCTCCAAACATGCGGGCGGATCTGTCAGACTGAATCCTTGTTTAATTCCTGAACGTATCTGTGGCAGTCTGGGAACTAAATGAGTTAGTGTGCCATTAACCAAATATTGTGTTTTCCACCTGGTGAGTTTGCAAGCAGCTATAAAGACCTGCAAATGCGGAAAGAGACGGCAAACACTCCGGCTGGCTAACAGATGACATCGTCGCATAATAAGGCACT